CTTCACCACCCAGCTATTACAATCCAATGCTCACAAATTATTTTCTGCACTTCCTCATTAGTTCCCACTAATTAGTTCCTCATTCCTCCACAATGGTCACAATAGCCTTTACCATGGGTTTTTTAAGTTTTACCTGACTTTTATATAATATTCAAGTGAAAAGTGTTGTCGAATTCTGAGCATTCTAAACATTTTTATAAAAAATTATTTTTTTAAAAAAGGCAAAGAACATTGTTACTGTATTGAAATCTGAGAYTTATATTTTAGTGGATGGTATAATGTACAATACAGTGAGCACATATAACACACCTCCCTGAAAGTCACTGCTCAGCTGCTGACCCCTTTCAGAATCTGAAGTAAATATAAAGATTTAAATAGAAATCTGCCTTTTAACTCCCAGTGCCAGGAAAACTGGTTGAGGCCCCAGAGACCAAAGAGTGCTCTTGAATTGGTATGGTGGAGAGGAACTGGTGGCTTTTTCTCTCTCACAGGCTCTGCTGGGCTGCACAATTTGACAAATCCATTGCTGGGGTCAGCCTTGACTCCACATCCCTGGAAAGGAGGACTCCAGGGCTCTCCAGCTTTTCTCCTCCTGGTCTATCAYTGTTCTGTCCAACTCCTGCCTGCATCCCACCTCCCTCCTTGGATGAATTTGGCCCCATCAAGTGAGACACGTAGCCAGGCTTTGGGCTTAACTRGACTGTTGGAGCAGAATGGGAAATATGCAGATGAAAGTAAGTCATAACAGGAAGTAATTTCCCTTTACTAGGACACAAACCTCCACGCTGCTGACCTGGCTGGCAAACTCCCATCTCCAGGCTATTAAACAGCTCATGTCCCAAGGGCAATAATTTGAACCAACTGGGAAGGCTCCCAGATTGACTGGTTTTCATGTCTGAGAGGGAAAGCTTTTATTTGTCCTATTTTGTTCCCCTAATAAGGTATCCTCATGAGAAAATCTGCTATAAATATTCATCTGTTGGGAACCAACAAATTCAACTTCTCCACAACCCATTTTCCTTTAAAATGGAGGAAAGGCAAACCCTACTATTCTGGCTCAACCTGTCCTGTGTTTGGGCTAACCCTCCACTGAGAGAACTCCAACTCCAAAGCAGGACATCAATGGGCACTGGATTAACCCACTAGATTATCATAATCCTAAAATATATTGCTGCTTTTAAAACACCCTCTTGGAATTAGGGCAAGTGCACCTCCAGGTCTGTTATAGCAGCACCCCAACAGCCATCAGGCAGCACAGGCCTAACAAAATACAGAAGTAAAAGAAAACAAAAATCTTACRTGCCTCTACGTGAGGACATAAAGCCTGTCCTCTGTTTAACTCCTGTAGTATGGCATTTTTCCGAAGAGAACGATTTCTCACTGAATGTGCTAATTCTCATTAAATTTCAATTTGTTTGATGCAAGCAGATCAAGCATAAAGAAAAGTAAGAGGAAAAATACTGCAGTAGAGAAATGATGGCTGGGAACAGCTGAAGTATCATAACAAGCACTTCACAGCTCTCATTTCAACCCAAAATAGTATTTTCTTATCATTTTCAGTTTCCTCTGCTCTGTTTTTAGTCATTCTTTGAACACTAACTCTCACTGTTTCCTTGGGAATTTGGGCCAAATAAGGAATGAACAAACCATGGACAAGGATACGCCCAACCAGTCTTTAAAAAGCAAAATGCCAAAGGAATATTGAATGTACACAGGTTTTTAAAGAGTGACAAGTCCAAAATCCTGATCTACAGCAGTAAAGGTATTTTCTGCTTCAGGGAGAAGAACRAACCACAGTGAATCCAACAAAACTGCTGCTGACAACTCCTAAATAGCAGCAGCCATTAGTGAGCAGCTCATTGCCTTCCTTGAAGGTGGTCTGGTGGCAAAACAATTACAAGAGAAGGAAAACCTATTCCTGGACACATTACAGTCTGTTAGAAACCTGCCATTACCCTCCACTGATGGACTTTGCATCAGCCCTGAAGTATCYGAGACATGTAGACATCATGCCCATTTCCTACAACTTACACATATTTTTCAAGATTTAAAGCACTGTAGTCTCAAAACCTTAACTCAGTGTGTAATGGGTTTAACATATATTTTACATCTTAATTTGCCATAATAATGTGGCTATAAGCTGCTGTCATTCACTCSCTTTTTCTGACCTTGGAAATAAAACGTTTAATCTCCATGGGATTTTCCTGGCGAGATGTTTTAAATCAGTGCATATGTACATACTTCTCTATATGCTTTTTCAATTTTCCTAAAATATTCTCATATGTGCAGACATGATGACTAGACATGTTTCAGTGGTGCTTGAAACTTGATACAAGTGGGTAATTTAACCATGTAATTGAACAATATTACAGAAACACACGGAGTTTCCTAGCAACAAAAGGCCTTGGACATCAAGATGGCAGCCAGCAGCTAACATTACAATTGCCTGACCTAGCTTGAAAAGAAATTACACTGAAGAATGTCCTCCTTCCTCTCAGAGCAGAACTGGTACATGGCTACAGGTCTGACCTTGAAGGGCTTTTCTTACAGGCCTTACACACAAGGTCACAAATGTCAGATGAGAAAGGACACTTAGGGAACATTTCTATTTTCCACAGGCAAGGATCATCGATTTGAAAAACTTGCTCCTGTGCCCTCAAGTTTAACCCCCAACAAAAATAAAAAGCTTCTTAATGTGGAGTAGCTGAGTRCAGCTTGTGGATGGAGAATTCCCCCTTTTTAGGGCATTCCCAAMGTGCCAAAAGAAAGGTGGCACAAATCCCATGAGCCTGGAGACCACCAGTGCTGCTCTGTGCCACCAGACCCTGTGCCAGAGGCTCCCGTGGTGGACAAAACAGGACACAGAGGGATGGCACAACATCATCTCCCTTCTTTCCTTTTCCCTCATTTTCACATATCTCTTGCTGCAGTATTTGGGAGGARGAAAACCGCAAGATTTTTAATCCAAGTTCTTTTTTGCTGAAGCAAGTCAGTTGGCTGAGCAGTTATCCCAGAGGACTGAGGAGAACTGTCCCCTCTRTTGGTGCAGAGGGGAGGTGACATCTGAGATGGAGAGCTGCTGACCAGCCAGCCTCAGTCAAAAACCAGCTCCTCCTTAGAGGGAAGAGTAAAGCATGGAAGAAGCCACCAACTCTTGAGGCTGAAGCAACCCCAAAACTCCAGCATGGATCAAGGCACACAGGGCACTGAAAAAATTCCTTACACCCTTCTCAGCTTCCTTCAGTTAAACAACAACATAAKTCTCTATTCCAGTTCCACCATGACTTCATTTTTCCATCTGAAGTAGCTAACTGTTGCTTCAAGAMAAATATCAAAAATTGCAAAGTTTTCATTCAGAAAACAGGCAGTCTTGGGCAGAGAAACAAACCCCTTCTMACACCAGGATGATGGTCTACTGGTATTTCCCTAAAATAGCAGCAGCTATTTGTGTGYAGCATGTCTATAACAAAGATGTTGGTATAAAAACGCTGCCTTGCCAACACCATTCTTTTCAACGTTGCCTTTCCAGCTCTGGAGGCACTGGCTGCTTTCACAGCCAAGTTTGCCACTGCTATGGAAAACAGGCTGCACATGCAAGCCAGCTGAAGTCATCCAGACTGAAAAGGGCTCGGGCTGCTGCTGCTACCACTGTAAAAATGTTATTTGGAAACCATCTTCTCAGAGAGCTGTATAAGGAATCAAAAACCCATGGTAGGGATGCAGGCTTGGTGCTTTCCCATTTTTTAGCAGTGACGCACACAACAAAGCTCTTATCTCCAAATAAAACATTTCTGCCCCTTACAAAGGCACATAAGTGGCCTTATATAGCTGGCCAGGCAATGTCCTCCTCAGCACTGCAGAACAACACAAACCATTTCCTACAGATTTGTCCCTTCTGTGCTGCTGTTTGCTGTTTAACAAGGGCTGAGTTTGKAACTTCTAGGGCAGATATTGGGTCTCCCTATGATACCCAGCTGTCTATTTGCATCAGATTTGATGGAATCCAAAAATCCAATAATTACAGGATGGTTTCTGTTATCATTCAAACAACAATTAAATAGAGGAAGAAAGGAATATTTCTATTTCCTTTAGATGCTTCACAGCATTAACTGCTTCAGATAAAAGGACAGAGCCAGTTCCATTGAGTTTTTGCTTCTTGAGCCTCAAGAGAAATTTTCAACAGCACAACTTAAATTTCATCTTAACTAGAAAAATATATCTGTCAGTACTTATGCCAAATCTTAGAGACATTCTCCAAAGTCCTTCTCTTAATGCTTTTGCTAAATGTTTTATCTACACTGCATCCCATTGCACACTTCACAGCACGAGATCTTGTGAAAATATACYTACTTCAGGCAATCAAGTGAGACATAAATGGCAGTTTTCTGCAGAGTTTTTCCCACATGAGTTTTCTCTACCAGGTAAAAGCAGATTAGTCAGCACCAGACTTGCACTGTTTCTCTGCTCCAGATGAATATGACATTTCGTTGTGTCATAATATAATACCAGATATGCTTCATGTGTTTTCTTAAGTATTCAAGTTTAGTTGGCCTCAGATTTAGACAAACCTGAAGAAATTTAAATACTGAAGAAAAATTGTAGACAAAACTCTCATCACTCACTTCTTATCTTTTTGGTAAGTTGCTACAAAGTCCAGTGGCAGAAGATTGCTTTCACTTGGAACACAGGAATTCCTGAGGAGTTCCAGACCTCTTAGGGCTTCAGCTTTTGGGAGAGCTCATTTCTCATTTACTATTGGTACAAAATATCAAAGACAGGCAAAAAAAAAAAATATCCGTTCTAGCTGAAGTTTTTCTATTTCAACCAAGACCTTGGATGTGACAATGAGCACCTTTGAACATCCCTATACTTTGTAGATCCCTGTCAGAAATTCTGACTTGAAAGGTTAAGAAAACAATCAAACTCCAAGTAAATCTATTGGAGGTATTGGCATCTGTTTGATACTTCATATATCTTYTTGAAGAAACAAAATTTCTTACCTTTAGGAAAACGAACCTTTTCAAAATCTTGAAAATTAAGTAACCCCAGTATATATGCAAGCCTTGGAGGGTCAATAACATCCCATTGAATAAAAAATATGCAATGACAGGAGTCGTGGAGTAGTAGGTGGGCTGATACAGTGTGGCACGAAGAATCCTAAAAAATAAAAATCATTGTTATGGTGCAAGGGCCCTGCTTTGTGCTATTTAGACTTMTTTCTAATTTCACATTACAAACTGATTAACATTAAAAAGCTCTGCAAAGATGTTAGATTAATTAACAAGCCCTGCCTTAACTAGATTATGCATCTCTATTAAAATATAGACTTCAGAAGAGGAAAAATTCGAGTCTGGCATGAAAGTATTCTAAGTGAGGTTAGAAAAAGTCTCTGTTTTTCAGATCTTCATCTCTGTGTGGTCTAGATACTCAGAGCAACTCAGAGCTTGTCTATGCCTTTTTTTAGTGTGAATTCTCTCTAATCTGCAATCCACACTCCAGAGAAAATCCTACAGGCTTTGCAACAGGGCTTTTGGTTAATTAACATATGTTTTGTCCATCTTCAGACTTCACTGCTTCTATATTATTTGGGGCCTTTTGAGKCCCTTTAATCTCATCATGTTTTGCTTCCAAGCTCAAGAACTGAAGAACAAGAAACTCAGTGAAGCAAAACGATTGCAGATCACTTATACAGTTAATTAAAAAAAAAAACAACAATAAAGCAAAAGACATCAGCGTTTCTGAAAGCAAATACTACAGGAAATTAAAGCCTTATGTTGATCAATGTTCAGAACTATTAATTTAACCAGCTTGAGTCTCTAAGGGTTTGTCCATGTGTRGGGAGGAGCAAATTAGAGCTGTGAACGTGAAACACATTAAACACTTYTTAAAAGATAAACATGTTAAGCACCCATGTGGATTCTGCAAAGCAGATTAAATCATAGCACTCCAAAAGCATGCAAGTATTTAGCAAGTTAAGATTTATTTGTGCTGACTTCATAAATTAATTGGCTCACCTTAACTTCTCTGAGCACTCCTCATGTGAGTGAAGTCAGGCACTACCCAAGAGCTGGGTAGCAGAAAGAAGGCCCAACACAAAATTAACTACAGTCATGTACTCTGACTTTGCAGCTACAGCAGAAGGGGTGGAATGGAAGGGAAAATGATTTCTCTCAGTTAAGGAGCTCAATCCCCTCGAAAATGCAGTGATTCRTAGCATTAAACTGCTAGTTACAAAATCAAGTTAAATAACACATAATGGCCTTTACTTATGTTCAAGAGGTTAATTTAAAATTATTTTTACTGAAGAATTTTTAAAGCAAATGACAGTTTTGTCAATTTTCTCACTAGCAGAATTTTCAAGTCCAGTGCATTCCTTTCCTTTTTCCATCACAACCAACACTAAACTTTCAGGAAAGTGGGAATGAAGTAAAAGCCTGTGACTTGGTTAAATATTGCTTACCAGAAGGGAAACACRATCATCCTGGTGATGAAGAATACGACAGAAAAGATGATAAACAGCACATTGCAGGTTTTCTCCCAGTGAGCATAATTAAACATTTTGGCTGCCTGCAGTGGATAAAAACCGCCAAATGTATTACAAATATTCTCTGAAATAAATTCTGCATTTTCATAAATAAAGACTCATCTTCCACCTAAGCAGGAAGAATATTTCCTCCCAGTTTGACATGTAAAGCAATCATTTTACTGATACCTAATAAAGCAGCAYAAGACCAGATTCTTTGTTTACATTTCTCCTTTCATCTTAAAGGAAAGGTCTTTGCATCAAAGGCCTAAAGAACAGCTCTCCAACCAGAAYATAAAGTGTCATGGAAACACAAAGTGCTCTTTAGAACAGAGGTAATTTCTCATTCTTCTACCAGATTCCAAACAGGAATTGCAGGAGAAGCTGCTGGCTACACCTGCACACTCAGGAGTGGAGTGACCCCGTGCACAGCGCTGTTCTGGGACCTGCCTGATGCTGAGCCTCCTCTGGGCCTGTTTCAGCTCTTGTTTTCTCCTTCTGGAGAGCAGGAGCTCCCACCAATGGTCTCTATCCCCCGAATAAAGGCTGCAATTCCTGCTTCTCCTCAAAATGAACWGTCCAGCTCTCTATGCTGCATTAGGAACCACCCTGGGCACTGTCGAGCAAAGCAGCAGTTATCAAGTGTGAGCAAAGCTGCAGGTGCCAAGCCTAAATTTTAAACAGCAGTTTGATTATTTTTTTTTTCTTTTCCTTCTTCTTGTGAGTGGCAGGGCTGGATTAAGTTTTTGTGGTACTCAACTGCAGTTTCCACCCAAGTGCTGTCCTACCAGTTGTCAATTCTACTGTTTGTAAGGCCACACAGTTAATTGGACCACAGAGCAGTTCAGGATTAAAAGTAACCCAGCAAGAAAACCTGTTTAATCTGGACCAATCCCAAGTGTACAACCCCACAATTAGTTGTTCTAATACAATAAGATAGAGTATCAGCACAAAATAAAAAACAAAACAAGACAATAGGCTACGAGAGCTCCTTACACAGGCACTGCCACCAAAAGAGGTGATGAAACTGCGCTCTCAAATCTGGTGTTGTAAAGTCAGGGTAATTCTRGTGAAGAGAACACTGTGCTTGTCTTCCAAGAAAACCAGCAGCAGCTCTGTGACCACAGTGCAGAGTAGGACACCTCTTAAACAGTTCTATTGATATTCAGTGCACAGAAGGCATTTCCCCTTCAGTTCGGGGGAATAAACTTTCCTTCTGCCAGTAGATACCCGAYACAGGTTGGACTCAATGTCAGAGGTCTTTTCCAACCTCAGTGATTCAGTGGTGCCTGTGGACAATCTGGTCTAATTTTATCAGTGAAACAAGAATAACCCAGGGAAACCGCTTTATTTCCAGTCCCTGTTCTGCACCGAGGAAGTTCTCTGCTRCTCTTAGCTCATAATGGATTCTGTAACTAAGTATCAGCTTAAATTATCTAGAAGCTCTTTTTTTTTTTTTTATTTTACAAGTTATAAATCTGCAAAGCTGTGTCCCTGTGGGGATAGGAAGGGATAATACGAAACTTGTGGCAAAAAGATTAAAATGTCACTGACAGCAAAACCAAAATCCCAACAGCCAAAAAACTCAGGCCAGAAAAAAGAAAAAAATAAGCTGGAGAGCAGGGTTACCTCGAGCCAGAAATCTGCAGTGTCGTGCACAAAGATCACCAGAGTTCCAAGCCGCACGTAATTGCCACACCAAGAGCCACTCATCAACGCGATGGCTGCCAGGTGATGAACGACATGAGCCATAAAATCCTGGGAAAGACAGAGCAAGAAAAAGGTAAAGGTGATGAAGCACAACCCTGGAGGGTCCCCGGGACCTGTCAGCCCCCGAGCTGCCCTGGACGCCGGGAATCCATGGATGTGTGCGGGGAT